CACATCTGCAAGGGGCCAGCAGGGGAGTGTATACTCAGGGGCAACCAACACAGGTTCGTTAGAGGCAGGTCCTGGCAGACCAACCTGGTTGTCTTCTATGACCAAGTCACAAAAGCCTTGGATGCAGGTGTCATGGTGGACGTAGTCTTTCTGGACTTTAGGAAGGTGTTTGACGCTGTCTCTCACCTTATCCTCAGTAAAAAATTAGGCATCTGTGGTGTTGACACCTACACAGTCAGATGGGTCACAAATTGGCTGGAGGGCCATACCCAGAGCATGGTGGTGGAGGGTCATTTTCGACCTGGAGGGATGTGGGCAGTGGGGTCCCCCAGGGCTCGGTCCTCAGGCCCTCACTGTTCAATATCTTCATTGGCAATTTGGACAAGGGGGTGAAAAGCACCTTGTTCAAGTTCACAGATGACACTAAGATATGGGGAAAAGTGAGCATGCTAGAAGAGAGGGACAGGCTACAACTAGATCTGGACAGGTTACAGAAGTGGGCGGATGAGAACAGGATGGGTTTCAGTATAGACAAGTACAAAGTGCTGCACCTGGGGAGGAAGAACCAGCAGCATACCTACAGGCTGGGAAACTCCCTTCTTGTCAGTGCAGAGGCAGAAAAGGATCTTGGAGTCACTATTGATTCCAAGATGAACATGGGCCGAGCGTGGGGACGCGGTCAGGAAGGCCAACCGCACCTTGTCATGCATCCACAGATGCATCACGAGCAGGTCCAAGGAGGTGATGCTCCCCCTCTATGCGACACTGGTCAGGCCACAGCCAGAGTGCTGCGTCCAGTTCTGGGCGCCGCACTTCAGGAGGGATGTGGCCAGCATGGAGAGGGTCCAGAGGAGGGCCATTCACATGGTCAGGGGGCAGCAGGGCAGGCCCTATGAGGAGAGGCTAAGGGACCTGAACCTGTTCAGCCTCCACAAGAGGAGGCTGAGAGGGGATCTGGTGGCCACCTATAAACTTGCCAAGGGGGACCAGCAGGCAATGAGAGAGTCCCTGTTCCCCCAGGCACTACCAGGGATAACAAGGAACAACGGCCATAACTTGACTGAGAGTAAATTCAGGCTAGACATCAGGAGGCACTACTTCACAGTCAGGGCGGCTAGGATCTGGAACCAACTTCCAAGAGAAGTGGTGCTCACCCCTACCCTGGGGGTCTTCAAAAGGAGGCTAGTCAGCCACTTAGCTGGGGTCGTTTGACCCCAGCATCCTTTCCTGCCCATGGCAGGGGGTCGGACTTGATGATCTGCTCAGGTCCCTGCCGACCCTACCTACTATGAAACTATGACGCTGCTGTAACCAGAGCAATGCAAAGAACAATGGTTAGGTGCATGCATGAAGATGCCTAAAGATGCTTGCATGCAGTTTGCAGGATACCAGCTGGACAGCTGTGGGCTAAAGGACTAACTCTGCAAGTTGACAACTTACAGAAAACTGTTGTCCTTTAGTAATCATTGAACGGTGAGAGTGCCTTCTAGTGCTGACTTGTCATATACTCCCTGGTAGAAACATGGCAGAATTGAGTAGAAGTTATTAGCAATAAGGGAATAAGACAATTTCACCTGCTTACAATCACAGCTGAAGTCCTGGCCTGTAGCTTACTGGCAATGACAACAATAAGAACCAAAAGGGTAATAATGCACTTTAATACACATATATTTGAATGCCTTTACAAAAATCCCAGTGTTTTACCCTGATTTAGGCTCATGCATGCCCGTTGATAATAGGAAATGGAACTGGCATCCTTACTTTTTGCAATCAGAAACTGGCAACGGCCATTTACTTTTTATACCAGTTTTCATTTGATATGTCCTTTATTTTCACCGTTTGTGCAAAGAGCATGACAGACGACCAGCCAGGTTCTGTGCCACTGTTTAAATACATGACATGTCAGTTTTAATGCCACTACAGGCATCTTCAATGCCAAATAAAATACACATTGCATTTATTTCCTTTAAAGTGACAGGAAGTGCTTTACAGCAAAAGCGGTCTGTGGAGAAACTGGGGGCAGGAGGGTATAGGTTGTGGCTTGCAGCACCAATGTCCATTATAGGGGAAACGTGCATATTCCGAAAAAGCTTGTCCCATTTCCCCTTCTAATGAATTACTGCTGTTGTAGTAGCATCAAACAAGATGAGTTTCCATTGTGCTGGGTGCCAGAAAGACCTACCGTGACAACAGTCCCTCCTCTGAAGTGTCTGTAGTATGAATTAACTAAAGGGGAAGATTATTAGCTATATTTTACTGATTTGGAAACCGGCCCTGAGAGGGAGTGACTTTCCCAAGGTCATATACAGGCAAGTAGCAGAACTGGGAAGAAAATCAAATCTCCTCCCCCCTTCTCAATGGTTTAATGACATCTCATCTCTTTGAAGGAAATGCCACTGAAATCTGCCTATTCCTTGCAATGTTGATTTTTAAAGTGCACCCAGTGTCACTGGGGCATTTTAGCACCAAAGACTCCCACCAGCACCAGCATCACCACTCCCCACTTATACTAGGAAACCTTTACTGTCTCAATAATGCACATGAGTGCAGTGTATAGTCAGAGCTCCACTTGGAAGTGCCTTGAGAGTGTGCCAAGTGAATTATGGGAAACAGGTAGGTGGGGGCTGGGTATTATGGTAATTTGATCCCTCATCTCATCAGTTCTTTTGTATTCCTGGAGGTGTCCCACAATCCAGTGCAAAAAATTACCCAGGTGAATTCTCAGAGTGCGCACAGAGGGGGTGCTCCAGGCACCCAACCTCTCCTCCCACAAATCCCCGCTACCTGCCTTAAGCCAGTGCATATTGCAGATATATCCTTCGAAGTGGCAGGAAGTGGTTTATATCACAAGCAGAGGCAGAGAGGCAGGGGAGGGTAGAGCTTGGGGCCTGAATCCATCCAGTCTGGCTGGAAACCTGGGATAATAACCCACACTGCAGTGCCTCACACATGGATGAATGGGGCAGGAATGAGACAGCAGCATATCCCATGGACAAACGGCACTGGCTTTCTCATGTCAACGGCTGATAAATGGTGGGACCACTGGAAACAAATCATTGGACGAGTGGATGATCAGAAGGAGTTGGGAGCGAACTCCCCCCGTTCTCCAAACCTGGATGCACCGGTGGTTTTTGAATTGGGAATCCCTGGAATTTTTCAGAGGCCAGTGTCTCCATCTCTAGTGTGGCTATTGCTGCCATTTCTTTCAGCGAAGCACCGATAGGCTAAAAAAGCTTCCCAGAACAAAGAGCTAGAATGAGCTGAAGAAGTGGAAGAACCAGCCGCAGCCTCCGATCCACAGCACGTACCAGTATGAAGTGGGAATGAGGTTCACCTTGGGACCTGCTCCTCGCGCTGCTGAAAAATAAGAATTTCTTTCACGATGGATTTCAGAAAAAACAAATAAAAGTTCCTTTTCATCAGCATTTCCCAATGGAAAGCCTTGATTTCTTTATGTGGGGGCGGGAACCCTTAACACCCAAGAACTTGCACCTGCAAACTGAAGCTGAGAGGTGTCAAACTAATTGACATTCCTAAATCAAAATTGACTGACAGAAGTGGGGTATCCTGACCTGCAAAGCTTCATGGGAGCTATGTTTTAGGCTGCCACTTTTCCCTGTGGGCCAGGCACTCCAGATGGACTGTCTCTCGCATAATGCACCCTCACCAATAGACTCCCATGAGGTCCTGCAGTATCTCAGGAGCAAATGCTTTATTACCTCTATGGACCTTGACAGCTAGAGACCTTGACCACCTACCTTGAAGAGCCTTAACACAAAAAAAAGGGGCTGAGCAGTACCACCCATTTATGTCTGGTCATTCAGTGTCCTGTCAAACTAAGCTATGCTCTGTGGGGAGGACAAAAGAGGTATGCACAAAAAAAGTTGTCAAACAAGAGGCTCTGCCACCTCCTGGGAGGCTCTGATGGAGGAAATGTGTGAAGGCAAGAGACTTTGAGGGAGGAGCCAGCTGTATTAGTCACTGGGCACAGACATCTTGCTGGGGGGGGAGGGTGCGGACACTATTTTTAATTAACTCTGCACATAAGTAAGCTGAAAATCAGAGAGTGGAAGTGATTACCCAAAGTCTCACACACTCCAGACTCCCTCCTTCCTAACCCACATCCTTCCATTGACTCCTGTTCAGTGCTTCTAGGCAGGGGTTGCCACACCATAGGAGTAGCATGAGAAACAGCAGAGGCAAACGGGGAATTCCCTTGCATAACACTGAGTACGCGCTTGCAAAAAAAGAAGTGCCCCCTATCTTTGTAGGGTGAGAGACATGGGCCCACACAAGGTGGATGTGGGGAGCAGCTGCTACTGTTTGGGGAAGTCAAAATGTCACTCCCTGTACCACACAGTGCTCTGTGACTGCTCAGCACGGCAGACATGCAGACTGCAACCACCCTCTGATCTAGTGTTTGTGGCATAAGGTAGTTATCATGAAAGAAATAGCCGCATGTGCTAGGAAATGACTGGTCGATTTACTTAAGCGCACTGCACAGATCAGAAGTGATCCTAGAAACCTTTGTTCCAAAAGACTTTTTTGACAGGACCAAGTGATGTTTTTTTCCAAGTCACCAAAACAGTTCATAAAATGTTTCCAACATTTTCTCTTTGTTCACTCACTCTAATCTTTCCCTCTCTCCTTCCCCTTTTTCTGTAGTAGAATGGAAACAGAAAAAAGAGAGGGGGGGAAAGATAGAGGTCTCCCCCTGCTGGCAATGTTTAAATCAATTAATTTTCTCAGAAAAAATGGTGAACAAGTAGAAAAAACCTTCCCAAATAAAAATCATTTTAAAACTTCTGGAAGCTTTCATCCTACATAGGTGGCATCTTGCACCATGGCTGTGGCTTAAACCTATCTGTAACAGCATTTCCTGAAGTGTTTAATGCTCAGAATAACCAAATAACCACAGTCATATTCAGGACCAATATATCTAGGTGGTAAAAAAAATTCCAGGTACAACTTTTTGTTAATTAAAAATGGAAATGGTAAGAACCTCTGTGGTTATTTTTTTCTTAAGTTATAGGTAAGTTAGTTGTTTTTTCAATGAAAAATGAAAGCTGGTAATTTTCTGCCCACTTCTCAGGCTTCCCCCACAAACCAGGCATATGGGCACCAGCACAAGGGGCCGGGCCAGCCCTGGAAGAAAAGAGGTGGTCGGCCCATAGGCTCTGCCCATCTCACACACTCCACACTGAGGGTTGTGGAGACAGGTGCCTGGAACTGGACTTGGAAAGCAAAAAGCAATACTTTCCCTTCTCGCAATTCTCCATTAATTCCCCCACCTCTGCATTACTTCCTCATTTTCCAGCAGAAATGAAGAGGTTGAATGAAGACCTGGCACCTCTTTGCAGTGTGGCCATACACATGATTAGAAGAGCATTTAGACTAGTAAGTACCTTTGCCATTTTTACATTCCCCATTAGGCTCTAGAGTAAATACACAGGGCCAGACTTTCAACAGCCTAAAGATAGGTACCAAATAGGATTTTTTTCAAAGGAGTTAATCAGACTACGCTCCTGAATCCTATTGATTTTTATTGGAGCTAATACCTTTGGAAATCTGTCAGTGGGTCCAGGTAGCCTTATTTCCCTGATGCCTCAAATTAGACATCAGTGGCCCTAGGGAGCTCAGGATCCTCTTCCCCAAACTTCCTTTCACCTCCCAGGACCAGGGCAAGGAGCCATCCAGCCTGGCAATAATTCCAGTCCATGTCTTGCCCAGCTAAAGCAGGGTTCAGACCTACTGAAGATGGGAGGCTAACCTGACCTGCACACAGAGTGCAATGCCACAGGGGTGTCTTATTGCAGCTGCTGCATCTGCGCAGAGCGCTGCTGACCACAGCTGAAAGCAGTCTGGTGTTTTAGGCAAATACGAAGACAGAGTATTGAAGCATGAGAGCTCTCCGGCACAAACAAGCTTCATAGACTCCCACAAAACTGCTCAGTAATTTCTGGGCAGAGGATAATTCAGACTGTGTTTTCTAATGCTGAGAAGTGTTTTATATTTCCTGTGACTTCCACCCTGAACATTGATCCACTAAAAGGTATTGCCCTCAAAAAAATGGGTGCCTCTCACAATTCCTGGAGCATCATAGCTCCATCACTCTAACACCCCCATGGCTGGAAATCAACAGAGATGTTTGCATGGCAAGCTACAGGGCAGATGTCTTCACTGGCATTTGAGTCAACTGTACATCTCATGGATGCTGACAGGTTTAACAGGAGGTGGTGGAAGAAGTGCCAAAGATTTTGAGGTAAGGCCCACATGCAGGAGATGCTGAGCCAAGGGAAGGATCAAAAGGAGAGTATTCC